GTTTTGTGAGTTGACTAAGTCTGGAGAAATCAAGCATGGAGATATCTCCTTCCAAGTTGTTGAATCCCAAATGTAGTTCTACAAGGTTTGTGCAATTCATCAAAGATGGGGGCAAAGCACCTTCTAAATAGTTGAAATCAAGGTTCACGAACTTCAACTTGGAGAGCATCCCCAAATTGGAAGGAAGCTCGCTGCTCAATTCATTAATGTAGAGGTCAAGGATTGCAAGGTTTGTGAGGTTGACAATTTTATCACTAATGGCTCCACGTAGTGAATTGAGAGGTATTGCAATTTCTTCAAGTTTGGTAGCATTATAGATATCTTCTGGAAGTAAACCTGAAAGGTTATTGTGACCAGCACGAAAAACCTGAAGTTCGGAACACTCCCCTAGCCCAAGAGCAAGGTTGCCACTGAATTCATTGGAAGAAAAATCCAATAGCCTAACAAAGGGAGAAGAATGGAGACAAATAGAGGATGGGACATACCCCGTGAAGGTATTGTTGCTAACATTGAAACTAGTCAAGTTGCTTGCTCGGTGGAAGATTGAAGATGGAATTGAACCATGAAAGTGATTGCTGGACAAATCGACTGTCCGGATATTGCTGGATGGTAGAGAAAATGGTAGCTCTCCAGAAAGAAGATTGTAGCTCAAGTCAAGGAACTCGAGTCCATTTAAAGACAAGAAGAACAGAGTTTCAAGTGAACCATATAGTGAATTGTGGGAAAGGTTCAAGTGGGTGAGATGTGTGAGATTTCCAAGTGAAGGAGAGATACCTCCTTTGATCCCTTTGAAAGGCAAGAGCAAATGGGTGACCCAACCATCTTGATTACAAGTGATGCCCTTCCAACGACAGCAATCAATGGATGTCCAATTTAAAGGAGGAGAAGATAGAGTGGAGGCAAAGGATATGAGGGAGCTTCGTTCTGTTTGTTTGCAGGCATCAATATTTGTAGATATAATGTAAGAGAATAAGAGGATGAGAAGGAAGCTATGAGCCATTAAGTTATAAGGCTGCACTAGTATGTTGATTTGTGTATGTTTACATGCTAGTGCCGTTGCTCACAGGTTTGTATATATATAGGAGTAACGTGCGATGCTTGTAAACGGTATGTAAGCATCACTGGAAATTGAGAAGTCGGCAAACAACAGCCGCATGATGCAAATTATATATTCAAAGAAGAAGACTTCACCGGGTCTTAAGAGGGGGCCACCAGGAGAGGACTTGAGCAAATTATTGATAATTTGTCTTGAAAATTTGGAACGTTCCATTGCTATTCACAGGTCACGGACCGAACAAATCAACTGTAGTGGATTTTTAGTACAACGGCGGTATATGAACCACAAGACAAAAAGGCATGAAACATAACATACCTAAGACAAAGTTTATATATTTAATCCATAATGTTTTACATGAAATAGATTACAATCTATCCTGACATGTTTTCATGTTCTGAAACTGTAGCATATATAATGGCTTCATTATCAATGCCATCAAATATATATATATATATATATATATATAATCATGTAATCTCCCATCCGATTTCGCAATCAATTCTTCAAAACATTCATAACTAAAAATGCTCTTTCGACGATGTCAGTAGCATCTAGTAAAATCAATGTAATGTTACACCGGAGTTCAATTCACGCAAAAAACAATCTTAAGGCAACCCAATATAATACTCCGTCATTTTCCTCCCTATCGAATGACAAAATAAAATAGAAAAGATCAAATTGCGTAGTATAAAAATTATAGTTGAAAATTTATTACGTATAGGACTAGTAAAATTTCTTTAAAGAACAGAGTCATATGCAAATGCGACCTAGCTAGCAGCAAAACCACCATAATGACTTTAAGGGTCAAATTAAAATTTTGACTTGTTTTTTGAAACTTATTGTTTTCGTTGAAATAATAAATACCCAATCACAAGGAATTAGTCAATAATTATGTAGGCAAAGGTCATGGTCCCTATTCTTTAGTTAAAATTTAGCTCAAACATATAAAAGTTATTTTAGGAACTCTATAAAATTTGAACTCCAATCATACTCCCTAAGTTAGGAAGTCATAAATACTATAGTTATTTTTTAATTCAAATGATTGGTTATCATCTCTATTTTTTTTTTTTTAAAAAAAATAGCTTGTATTAATTAAAAGTTTAAACTATGTATAAAACGAAACAACATTACATTATAAGGAGTCACTATGAGTCCTTTCTCTCTCCTCAGATTTAGGAGTTCCTAGAGGTCTCTCTATTTTAGGAGGTGAATAGGGACCATGGTTGGAGTTGTATTTTTCCAATTCCTCCCTAAAATTTGTCTAAGGAGGTGTTTAGGGACTCTATTGTGGATGCTTTAAGTGCGAGTAATTATAGTGTACGTAGTATGAGAGTATGTCACATGATATAACTCGTTTGTTAGAATATATAAGTGGATATTTATTGATATTATATCATAAAAGTGAGAAATATTAACTATATCGCCCATCCATATTATAACACGTGGACGAGTTACAGTAGCCTTGCTACGCTTTAGTCATTATACACAGACAAGCTTAAACACTTAAATCAATCTCAACCACATGATTTCATTGAAATAGATCCAACGACTAAGCACCTCATTCCTCAAGTGATGACACTGAATCTCTCAACTGCATGCATGGCACTATATATATATATTCTTCGGCAAGAATATTCTAATTGCCCCAATAATATATATGTTCCTATATCCAGACATTGCTTGTCACATGCATACGTCCCCACCATTGACTTGACGCTAGCTCTTCAATTACTCATGTAGATAATTTTTTTTTTTTCAAGTGCCTATAGAGATAATGCTTCCATATATTGGGCTCACCTCGATTAAAAATGTGGTTAGTAAGTGGTACACGATTGTTTTTATATATGCTTAGATATTCAATTTTGCAAAATTAATGCATCCAACTAACTCAACCAAAAAAATTGCATCCAATTAATGATGTTCTTGGAATATTGATACAAAATAAATTAGGTGTTAAAAAATATTTAATATCTGAATATGATCTATTACGATAAAGACTCATTGCCACTATAATGGTGATTATTCAAAAGGTGTAACATCCCTGACCTAATTTAATTCCTTCGGCAGGGGAGAAGGCGTGTCTGCCTTGGTGTTGGTTGTTTTGAGGCTGGATATACTCGGTTGATTATGGTGTAAACAAAGTTCATATGGCGAGTCTGTACTGCGTACACACACCAAGACCACTTGAAACTGTTATCTTTCAACATTTCATTGTGGCTTTTTTTCTGCCTAAAAACGACATATCAAAAATGTTATTTTCTTTTATATGTAAACTGGGTCATCACGTAAATCTTTCATTCAACTTTCAAACATAATTACAACCTATATGAAAAAGGAAAGCATGATAAAAAAAAAAAGGAAAAGATTTTACAGGGGCATGAGTTTTTATGGTCGATGGAAAAAAAAAAAAAACACACGTGTTTGATGTTTTGTGACATACACACTCCAACCTCAAGTAAACCCCACTATCATTTTACAGAGAGACGATGATTCAATTTTATGTAAAATTGAAGTAGAGAAAGCACACACACCAGAAATGTGTTAAAATATGAAACCTAATATGAGAATATTTGTTTATGGGAATTTTTTGTGTATTCTTCTCCTTGTAGAAGGTCATATTTATAATACAATAGAATTTTAATGGGCAAGTAAATAATAAATTCCTATTTCTATTTACAGTAGGAAATCAGTAATTAAAGTAAATGAAATATAATTATAATGGGAATCCTTGGTGTGAGGAAAGAAAGTCAATGGTCCACAAGTCACACCAACACTCCCCCTCACGTTGGTGCATAAATGTCGCCAATGCCCAACTGGTCCAGTGAATTGTGGAACGCTTTATTAGAAATTGCCTTTGTCAAAATATCTGCCAATTGATCCTCGGACTTTACGAAAGGAAACTGAAACACTTTAGCTTCGAGCTTCTGTTTGATACAGTTTCGATCTACCTCAACATGTTTGGTGCAATCATGTTGAATTGGATTTTGTGCAACAGCTATTGTAGCCTTGTTGTCACAAAACCGATTCTTTATTTTTTTAAATTCGTTTTTCATATAAATATAACTTCATAAACAATATTAGGTCAATAGAATCACTAGAGATGTGATCAACCAAATCAATGGTATTTTGAATGGACACATGAAGTACATATGCAGATCATTACCTAAAGTGCTTTGTGTACATAGTTTTAGAGTTGAAACAAAGTGTTTATTAATTTGGAGGAGAATAGTAAATAGTTTTGTGGACATAGAAACGAAGGATAAATGGCCTTCATGTGGCTATTGGCCACCACACTGGATTTAGATTAGTGAGCCTCCACAATGGTGGGTTAGCTCTTTGCTCCGTTGGGAGTTCTCTTGGCCAATCCTCACCACCTTAGGTTGATTAGATACACGACTAGCTAGTTTAGGTTGCTAGTTTACTAGCTTAGGTTGGGTAGCAATTTTTTTGCTCCACCTTGTTTGGATCACATATATGTCGATTTATAGTCTTGATCAACCGAGCGTACCTTGGTCCACCGACTAAGGAAGATTAACCCCAGCCACATATGTGTGGCTTTCTCTAGATAATTATCCAAGTTGCAGTGGCTGCCGACTTCCCATTTCAGAATTCTCAATATCCTTCTAGGATATTTTCTACTCCAAGCCGACATTAGCTTTTTCTCCAAGCTTCTAGATTTTTTCCATATTTCTTTAGCACAAATGTGCAGTATTTTCAACATAATCCTTCACTTTTATCTAGAAAACAAAACCTCTTGAATGAGCAATATAGCTTAAGTTGTATTTTGTTACTTGCAAAAGGTAGAGTGAAGAAATTGCATCTGAAAAAGAAAACATAACTGTAAGAACAAACTGTGCTTTATTACATCCGGAACACAAAAGAAAAGAAGAAGAAAAAAAGAAAAGCAAACAACAAATGTAAAATAAGGACTACAATAATATGTCTAGCCTCTAAGACTTCTCTTGATCGTGTTGATGCGCATTGTTACCATCACATACAACCTATCTTGTACATTGTCGATGAATCGAAAATATGCATATCTCCATGTCTTGTTAATAACTAAAGAACCACAGACTCCCCAAAATCCCACTATGAACCCCAATGCAGCAAAGATATAAAACCATGGAAGTTGATGAAGCCCATTGTCCACGTCTTTGTTCTTGTTATCTTCATCAATGCCCTTATTTGGTCCGCACTTGTTTGGAAGCGGGTCACCACAAAGTTTTGGATTCCCCTCAAAGGAAGAAGCGTTGAAGCTTTGGATCTGAGTGCTTGTTGGTATTGGTCCTTGGAGATTATTGTATGAGACATCAAGGCTTCTCAAAAAATTAAGTCTCAGCAAACACGATGTGATTTTTCCAGACAAATGATTCCTGGAGAGGTTCAAAACCTCTAATTCTTTTAGGTTAGATATTTGGTCTGGAATGACGCCGACGAAATTGTTGGAGTTAAGATACAATCTGCGAAGAAGCTGCAATTGGTGGATCTCAGTAGGTATATCTCCATCAATGTTATTGTCAGATAGGTCTATCAACGCTGGAAAGTAAGACAATCTGTGCGGTGGATAAGTTTTTCTATCTGAGATTGTGATGAGAGGTAATTCAAATTCATATTGGTCTACTTCAGATGCAATAGGTTTAGAAATCAAACTTGGTAGTCTACAAAGTTTCTTTGGAAATTCACCTGAAATTCGATTGTGTGACAAGTTGATAAAAAATAGTCTAGGGAGAGTTCCTAGCCAACTTGGAATTCGCCCTGTGATTTGATTAACATTTAGACTCAAGAGCTCTAGATTTTTTAGCTTTGATAACCACAGAGGTATTTGACCAGTGAGGTTACAATAGGCCAAACTCAACAACCAAAGATTTTGGAATCCATCAAAATCAACCATGTCATCATCAGTTGGCATTTCCTCACCTACAAAGGAACCAGTAAGAAAGAGTATGTGAAGACTTTTGCTACTCATTAATATCTTCATTGCCCCTGTGAGGTTGGTGAATTGGTTGTAACCAAGAGAGAGGAAAGACAAGGATTTCAATGAAAGAATCTCCGCTTGTATTTGTCCTTCTAGATGATTTCCAGTCAATCCAATGGCTTTTAGGGACCTACATGAGTAAAGACTTACTGGCAACGTACCAGTGAAATTATTCCCCCTTAAGTCAAGTTTTGTAAGTTGACTAAGTATGGAGAAATCAAGCATGGAGATATCTCCTTCCAAGTTGTTGAATCCCAAATGAAGTTCTACGAGGTTTGTGCAATTCATCAAAGATGGGGGCAAAGCACCTTCTAAATAGTTGAAATCAAGGTTCACAAACTTCAGCTTGGAGAGCTTCCCAAAATTGAAAGGAAGCCCACCGCTCAATTGATTAATGTAGAAGTCAAGGATTGCAAGGTTGGTGAGGTTGATAATTTTATCACTAATGGATCCACGTAGTGAATTGAGAGGTATTGCAATTTCTTCAAGTTTGGTAGCATTATAGATATCTTCTGGAAGTAATCCTGAAAGGTTATTGTGACCAGCACGAAAAACCTTAAGTTCTGAACACCCCCCTAGCCCAAAAGCAAGGTTGCCACTGAATTCATTGGAAGAAAAATCCAATAGCCTAACAAAGGGAGAAGAATGGAGACAAATAAAGGATGGGACATACCCCGTGAAAGTATTGTTGCTGACATTGAAACTAGTCAAGTTGCTTGCTCGTTGGAAGAATGAAGATGGAATTGCACCATGAAAGTGATTGCTGGACAAATCGACTATCCGGATATTGCTGGATGATAGAGAAAATGGTAGCTCTCCAGAAAGAAGATTATAGCTCAAATCAAGGAACTCGAGTCGATTCAAAGACAAGAAGAACTGAGTTTTAAGTGAACCATATAGTAAATTGTGGGAAAGGTTCAAGTGGGTGAGATGTGTGAGATTTCCAAGTGAAGCAGAAATACCTCCTTTGATCCCTTCGAAAGGCAAGAGCAAATGGGTGACCCAACCATCTTGATTACAAATGATGCCCTTCCAACGACAGTAATCAATGGATGTCCAATTTAGAGGAGGGGAATATAGAGTGGAAGCAAAGGACAGGAGGGAGGTATGTTCAGTTTGTTTGTAGGCATGAATATTTGCAGATATAGTGTAAGAGAATAAGAGGAAGAGAAGGAAGCCATGAGCCATTAAGTTATAAGGCTGCACTAGAATGTTGATTTGTGTATGTGTCTTTGCTCACAGGTTTATATATATAAGCAACGTACGATGCTTGAAAACAATATGTAAGCATCACTGCAAATTGAGAAGTCGGCGTGCATGTTACTTCACTACAAAAAATTTGATGCAAATTATATATTCAAAGAAAAGACCCTTAAGAGGGGCCACCAGGAGAGGACTTGAGCTACTTAATTCAAAGGACTTGAGCAAATTATTTCACTACAAGAAATTTAAGTATTTACGGCGTGGTATTTACGACGTGCATGTTATGCGCACCGTAAAAGATGGGTTTTTATGGCATGCAATTTGAGCGCGCCTTAAATTGATTTTTTCCTTCCTTGTTTAATGGCGTGCTTTTAGTGCACGCCGTAGTTTTCAGTCAATAAAAGCGTGCTAATATTGCAGTATGTAAAAGAGAACTCCATTAATGGCGCGTAAAATGTGAATGCCGTGAAAGATAGTTCTATTAATGGTGTGAGAAATATGCACGCCCTGAAAGATAGACCTTCACTACAAATATTCAAAAAAAAAAAAAACCGACTTCTATTAAAGTTGTTTTCTCGTATATAAACATCTTATGAAGAAATCCAAAGCTCCAGGAGTCGGAGAACAATTCGAATTCACAATTTCCATAGCCATTGGCTCTCAATGGAACCTTCCGCGTGTCTACCTAATATCAGACACGCGGCACTCAATCTACAAGGCAATTTAAAATTTTAAAATAAAAATGTTGAAATGTTGAACTTGATAAAAGTCATGGCAGAGAAAAATGTAAACATACGCTGATGCGCCCTATCCATGTTATAAAAATATTTTCTACTAATTCATTGCCATCTGTCCGCTAAATGACAACATAGATGAAATGTAGATTGCGAAAATTCTACGTATAGAACCCATCTCCCCCTGCAAAGTAAATTAGAATAAATAAATAAATAAATAAATAAAACCTGTATATATTTTATACAAAAACACTTGGAGATGCCAATTGGAGAAAGAAGAAAAACGACAACAAGCCACCTGTTATTTTTAGATTGGTTCTCAGTATATTTCCATTTTTTAAAATAAATATAGTATGGAATTTTTCTAAAGTTTGATTTGTCTTGAAAATTTGGAACGTTACATTGCTAGTCAAGCCTGATCTCAACAATACATTGACTTCCTACTCACAAGTCACGGACCAAACAGATCAACTGTAGTTAATTTTTAGTACAACAATGGCATATGAACCAGAAGACAAAAAGGCATGAAACATAACGTACCGAAGACAAAGTCTATATATTTAATCCATAGTATTTTACATGAAATACATTATAATTTTCCTCGAAGCATTTTCATATTTTGAAACCGTAGCATATATCAATGCCATCAAACATGTCTCTCTCAATATATATATCCATGTAATCTCCCATTTGATTTCGTAATCAATTCTTCAAAACATTCATGGCTGAAAATGATCTTTTGACGATGGCAGTTGCAATTAGTAAAATCAATGCTCTGATATCACTTTTCAGATTTTAAAAGTAAGTGATGTGTGAGTGATACTGTTGTTGGTTTGTGTGGTGAAGAGGTTTAGGAAAGATAGGACAATAGTTGAAACAAAGTGATTTTATTATTTTCTTTTATATGTAAACTGGGTCATCACGTAAATCTTTCATTCAACTTTCAAACAGAATTACAACCTATATGAAAAAGGAAAGCATGATAAGAAAAAGAAAAGATTTTACAGGGGCATGAGATTTTATGGTTGACGAAAAAGAAAAAAACACAGTTATTCGTGTTTGATGTTTCTCAAGTAAATTAGAGAGAAATTCTCTTTGAATTATTTGATAAAAGTTTAGATGGCTGACTAAATACAACGTTCTCACCTATTGGACTGCCCTGGGAAGTTATTGAAAACTTAACAGAAAATAAACGGAAAGTCTGTGAATTGAATACAATCTTTAAATGCACTTTTGGAAGGCCCAAACGACCTCATGGCGTCGTTCCCTTTTCGATAAAGTATTATGCGACCCAATCAGAGCTCAGACGCCAAATCCGTAAATTCCCACTGCGTTCTTTTTCCCTTCTTTGCTCCAATTCTTCTTCAATCTATTCAGCCATTTATTCTACATTAGTCCCCTCCACCTCCAAAGAACTCGACCCCGAGTTATATTCAGGATAAAGGTTTTCATCTTGACAAAACTCACACAAATCAGCAACATTAAAAGTATTGGAAATTTCCATGGAATCTGGTAATTCAATAACATAGGCATTGTCATTTATTCTTTTTAGCACCTTGTAAGGACCATATTTTTTAGGCTTCAACTTGCTATAAGTACCAACAGGGAACCTCTCCTTCCTCAGAAACACCACCACAGAGTTGCCTTCTTGAAATACTTTAACTTGTCTATGCTTATCTGTAGCAGCTTTATACTTAGCATTAGTTTGCTCGAATTTTTGCTTCGCTTCATCACGAACAGACACCACTTCTTCAGCCAAATTCCCCGTTGCAACACTGGTTTTCTGGCCTCTAGGCAACTTCACCAAATCTACAACATGATTAGGCACAGCAGTATAAACAATGGAAAACGATGACTTCCCGGTAGCACTATGAATTGCACCGTTATATACAAACTCCACCTATGGCAATGCATAATCACATTGTTTCGGCTTCTCTTCGCAAATGCTTCGCACCATATTTCCCAATGTTCGATTTGCAACCTCAGTTTGGCCGTCAGTTTGAGGATAGGGCAGTGCTACTACGATTCAAAGTAGTCCCAAACATTCTCCACAAAGTGATCTAAAAATGGCTCAAAATTTTGTATCACGGTCAGAGGTTATAGATGTAGGTACTCCATACAAGTGAACAACCTCCTTGAAAAACAGTTTGGCTATATTGGATGCATCAGTAGTTTTCTTTCAAGCTATGAAATGTGCTATTTTTTACAACAGATCAACCATCACAAAAACCTAATCCACACCTTTCTGAGTTTGAGGCAAACCAAGGACAAAATCCATAGCATGTTCCTACCAAATATCATTAGGAACTAGTAAAGGCATGTATAATCCAGTGTTTTGTACCTGTCCCTTCGAAACCTGACAAATATAACATTTGCGCCCAATTGTTCCAACATCACGCTACAACTATGGCCAATAAAATCTCTCATCTAATCCTGCTATTGTTTTATCGCGGCATAAGTGGCCACTCAACCCTCCTCCGTGCAAATCCCGAATGAGCTTCTCCCTTAATGAGGAAACAAGAATGCATAACTGGTTGCCCTTGAATAAATACCTTTCATTAAGAAATAAATTTGCCATTGGCACATGATTAGCACATTTAACCATATTGCCTTGAAATCATCATCATCTTCATATAAATCCTTCAAAAACTAGAACCCCACAATTTCTTGTATAAGAGTAACTAACAAAGAAGCCCTTCTACTCAGTGCTTCAGCCACACGATTTGAGGTACCACACGATTTTTGCAAAAACTCACCCATCTGTCATGCATTTTATCAATATGTTTCTTGCTATTAATATATTTAAAAGCTTGATGATCTGTAAACAAAATAAATTCCTTTTGAATAAGATAGTGCTCCCATTGTTTCAAAGCCCGAACAACTGCATAAAATTCTTGGTCATAAGTACTCCACTTTTGACGAGCATCGCTCAACTTTTCAGAAAAGAAAGCAATTGGTCTCTTATCTTGAGAAAGCATGGCTCCCACTCCTATGCCACTGGCATCGCATTCAACTTTGAATACCTTCTCAAAATTTGGAAGAGCTAGAACAGGAGCGGTGCAAAGTTTTTCTTTTTACAAGAGCAAAACTTTTTCTTGCTCTTCTCCCCAATTGAACTTGCCCTTCTTCAATCATTCAGTAATAGGCAGGACAATGGAACTGAAAAGCCTCACAAACCTCCTATAAAAAGTGGCCAAAAACATGGAAGCTTCGAACTTCAGAGACTGTTTTTGGAGTTCGCTAGTCAAGAATTGTGCAAGAGCAAATGGGTGACCCAACCATCTTGATTACAAGTGATGCCCTTCCAATGACAACAATTATTAGAGGTCCAATTTAAGGGAAGAGAAGATAAAGTTAGGGAAAAGGACATGAGAGAGCTGCGATCAGTTTGGTTGCATGCACGACTATGTGTGGATGCATAATAATGGAGGAGAAAAATAAGAAGAGAAGGAAGCCATATGCCATTGGGTTAAGGCTGCTGCAGTACTAGCAAGTTCTTTCGTGTATTGATATTGCCCACAGGTCTGGATAGCTATATGGATATGCAATTGCACGAGATATTTTGTGCTCACGCTCACGAATGATACTTATTTTCTTAGAAAGCACATGCATTGGGCCCATAAAAAAATTTGGCATGGGCTATAGCCAGGCTACAAGTAGCCTGATTGAAGGGCTAAAGGTAGCCCTCCAAATTTGGCCAAATTGCCCTCAAAACAAAGGGAGGTTAGACATCTCCTAAAGAATAATAATCTTAGTTTGTGTGGCCGGAGATGAGTTTTGTATTATTTTAGGGATATATTTGGCCCATGACTAGAGATGGCTTAATGACCTTATAATTTTGGAGATTTATTGTAATTGATCCTAAAATAAATAATAAATAAAGCAACAGTAGTTGAAGAAAGAGAAATGCATAAAAGAAAGTTAACCTAACTTTAAAGAATTTAATTTGGAACTCATCACCAACCAGGAATTGGTTCTTGGTCGCATCAACCTGCACAATTTCACTACTTTGGTGCCCTTGAATAATGCCTGCAGTGAGTTTGCCAAAAGATACCAAGAGATGCCAAGAGACAGAGCAAAATAGGGTTTATGCAGAGTGTTGGGGGAAGGGGGAAGGAAATTGACGTTGACTTTTTTTTTTTTTTTCCAAGATCTATGAAAACCACAACTCTACTTTTTCCGAATCTTCTAAGACTTATGAAAATCATGTGAAAACTAAGGCCTAAATCTCTATGTGTTTTATAACCCACC